CTTAGTAACCAGTGCTGAAGTCACCACTCTTAAATTAGATCGATGCAAGTTTGGCTTGATGTATGCTGTATAAGAGTTTTTCCTTTTTCCATGTTCGATGGTCCCTTGACTGATATAAAATGCTGTAAAACAAAGAACAAATGCAAATAATTTACTGAGAATTGCTTATATTGCATAACACAGTTATGTACCGTAATATTAATTTATATGCCAGGCAAATCATGGCGAGGAAATTTAATTTCCCATAGAAATTCCTTCAGAGAATAACCCTCGGCAGATTGCTCACTTGTCGTATTGTTTTATACAAATAAACAATTACGTTTATTACCAATGATATTCTCGATATATTACAATACCCTTGAATCCGTAAAATGCATTTAAAAAGCGCTAAATTAGGTGGGTATTACAAGAAACCCTTCCCGACACATTAAAAATCTTCATTGATCAGAAGGAACCATATTGAAAACCATTAAAGTTCTGGTTTTTAATAAGGGCATATTTTTTTGGCAAATCAATGGGTTTTATTTTATTTATTTACTCCTCTACGTCCTCATCCGTATTCAGTGGATACGAAACAGAAACACTTCATAACATCTGTTGAAAATCATGGAATTTTTTGCAATATGCCATACAGTTCAATTGTGCACGGAGGATTTCTGTGGTACCTCATTTCTCTTATATACAGGAGTACAAAGATATACCTTACATAATTAAATTGATTACTCACAATCGTGTCGATCTGTATTAAAATCACGTATGGGTAGACCCATCTCTTTGATTGCACCCAAAAAAATTTTCAGTAATGGACTGTAATACGGCGAATGAGAAACAGTCAATGGACCTCCTACTCCATGAAATTCTAAAAAGTAAAAAAATTAATTTAAAATCTAATTTTATTTACTGTTTTCTTTTTAAATTTAATTAAGCATTACCATTATGGTAATCGCTATTATTTTCTGCTCTGAGAAAGTATCCGAATATATCCTTCCAGCTCCATCCGGTTGCTCCTTGTTGGGCCCACAAATCGTAATCTTTTCTTTGGCCTCTAACGTATAGATTGAAGTTTAAATTGCTGGTTCCTCCTAGAACTCTGCCAGCTAACCATGGGGGAGACTGAAACAAATTAATGGTTATTTGGAAAAGAATCTCGAGGTTGAACACCAGTGGTTCCCCTATTTATAGAGGAATTATTTTGTGGAACCACTTGTTTCCAACTTAAGAAAGGTGTCTCAGAGGGAAAGAGAAAAGTGTAAAGATCCCGTTTCAATTAAGAGCCCAATGTATGGGCGGATTACAGGATTAATGGGAAAAGTCAACGCAATACACGAGCCAATAAAATTATCAACTTACATTGTGGTGAAAACCAAAAAAGCTTCGTTTCTGTGGGTAGACCCTATATCCCCAGTTCGGTAGATTTATCAGATCCGCGTGCTGAATAAGCGGCATGAGAGGGATGTATGACAATTTATTAGGTTCTATCCCAGCCTCTAACAATAAAACACTGTGATTCGGATCTTCCGACAGTCTGCTAGCCACCACCGATCCGGCAGATCCGCTTCCAACTGAAAAAAAAAAGAACAACTCTTGTAGTTAATGCAAAGACCATGAGCATGGTGAAGCAAGAACCATAGAACATCCATAACAGTAGCTAATGAGTTCGAACCTGACCAACTGGATGGCGGAGTTTTTCTTATTTTCTTCACGTGTCTAACACCCTAAATGGGGGTTTCCAGTAGAAAGTCCTCCCATAGAAAGCACATGGGCGATCTGCCAAGGGGGAAGTGAGAAAGGAGGCTGATGGTCGTGTTCAATTGATGGAAATAAGGTAATGCAACACGTGGGTGATCACCCACCTTTGTCGCTCTCCCCCTTGGTAGATCGCCCATGGGAAGACTTTTTACTGGAAATCGAGAAAAAAGTCTGAAGAGAGCTTTGTAGAGTGACTTTGGATGCTTTACGGGTTCTTTGTTGTCTTACTGGGGCATGAGAGAGTTAAAGGGATTAGGTTCCTCTTTTTTTCACCCTTCTAGGCGCTCCTGGCATTCATTATATTATGATTAAAGAGAACAACCACCTCGCAGTAATTGCTCCACACTCTTGGCCTTTCAAAATCAAGAGGAACCCGAATAACCTTTCTGAGGCCTCCAGTATATTAAAACATCGAAATGGTAATAAGAAAACACCTTTATATTTTCTCAAATTAACTTAATAGGATGAATCACTTGTAACAATTGACGTTGAGGCCCCCGTAAATGCGAAATCTCGTCGGTTCCCCTGTAAATAGGCCTCAAATATCTGAAAATACACGGATTTTAAATGTTACCAGACAAGATGACCCACTTTCACTTAAACGGGAAGTTTTCTATCTATTAAACAATGAATACCTGTTCCACCAGGATTTGTCTATCACATCACGCTGTTTGTTAACACAAGACATGAACCTGCAAACAATGGAACATCTAAGTAACACACTACAATTAATATGGGGCCTATGAGAAGTTTTTCGACTCTACTTTCGCACATCCCAGTTTCAGCTGCCCTATGACGATTAAATTAATGCTAATAAGTTAGGAATATCTCCTCTCACGTGAGAAGGCCCCTTCTGACTAGAGCCAACTGGTCCGGGCCTCATATTTACGAAGGTCTTGTGTATTAAAAATGATCTTTATTTCTTCTATCGGAATTTTTAACGCTGCTTTGTTTTTTGAGTCTACTAGGGCCTCGTAAAGGTAAAAGGCCCGGGCCTTAGTGAGACGGACAGAGATCGTCCTACACTAGAAACTTCCAGGCCGTGTTTTACAGCGTGTTCTAAAGGTCTAGGAATTCAAACGGTAGCTCTTAAAACTCATTGTTTCAACACTAGGGGGTTAAAGGTCAGTTTAGCGAGTAGCTAGACTGACCTTTAACCCATACTATTTCGGCTTTTTACCTTCACAACCTTACATTTTTGCAAAGACGTAGGATTTGTCGGTACTTTAGTACAGCACAGAAGCTGAAGGGCAGCGAGATTGAGGCCTTTAGTAGTGCTGAAAGAAGGCCTCAGTTGTATTTACGTCACGTTTAGTATTTGCCCTTCCTTCTGGTAGCTTTATCTCTGTTCAATTACAACTGTTAGTCTGCTAAACAGTAGTTATTAATTAACAGGTTGCAAAAAAAGTCGGGAAGGCAATCTGTAAAACAGGTTAGCAATGCCAGAGGCTATAGATTGATATCGCCGATTAGTCGCGTGGTAACATTATTTATAGCATTTAAATTATTATCGGGGATACGGCCGAACCTCCAGTAAACGGACACCCTTAAACGGAGGTTTATAAGTGGCCGCTATNACTCAGCCAGCCTGTTGAATCAGGCGCAAACCCGCGATCAATTACTGGTGTTCTGTGGTTTTATCTACTCCGTCACAGGTGGGCACGTCTCTTCTAGTGCTACTCGCTGGCAGTTTTAACTAAAATCTGCATAAAATCCCGTGTTATTCCGAGTATTTTCAGTGAAAATCCAGGTGTTTAAAGTACAAACCCATAGAGATTCGAAGTTTTAAAACTGTGTTAGACGTTTATATGACACTACCTTAGTAACCAGTGCTGAAGTCACCACTCTTAAATTAGATCGATGCAAGTTTGGCTTGATGTATGCTGTATAAGAGTTTTTCCTTTTTCCGTTTTCGATGGTCCCTTGACTAATATAAAATGCTGTAAAATAAAGAATAAATGCAAATAATTTACTGAGAATTGCTCATATTGCACAATACATGAAATTTATAATGTCGGAATATATTCAATGTGAGGAAAGGAAAGAGAATATATTAAAGACCCCATAAGAGATCCTGAACTGGACTATAACTACGAGGGAAATGAAATTTAGTATATATTGTATAGATTACAATGGTACTCGATGTCTATCAAACTATAGAACCACGAAAATCTCATTGAATTTTATGCTTCTTAAGTAAGTTTTACTTACTGAAACATAAAATTCAGTGGGTATTACGAAAAAATCCTTCACAACAGATACTCATTAAAACCTCACCGATTCAACGGATGGCCGAGCAGTTAAGGTGGTATCCTACCGCTCTGAGGGATCCTGGATCATATTCAGACGGGTTAACAACCCATAATTTTCAATATATTACACAGTTCAATGGTAGTTGCAATATGTATCTGTGGTACCCATTGAATCTCATTTCTCTTACGATTATATGCATATTCTTTAGAAAATGTCCAGTAAGATTCTTTTAATTAAATCGATTACTCACAATCGTGTCGATCGGTATTAAAATCACGTATGGGTAGACCCATCTCTCTGATTGCACCCAAAAAATTTTTCAGTAATGGACTGTAATACGGCGAATGAGAAACAGTCAATGGACCTCCTACTCCATGAAATTCTAAAAAGTAAAAAAAAATTAATTTAAAATCTAATTTTATTCACTGTTTTCTTTTTAAATTTAATTAAGCATTACCATTATGGTAATTGATGTTATTTTCTGCTCTGATAAAGTATCCGAATATATCCTTCCAGCTCCATCCGGTTGCTCCTTGTTGGGCCCACAAATCGTAATCTTTTCTTTGACCTCTAACGTATAGATTGAAGTTTAAATTGCTGGTTCCTCCTAGAACTCTGCCAGCTAACCATGGGGGAGACTGAAACAAATTAATGGTTATATGTAAAATACTGTAAAAATGTTCATCTGCTCCAATTAAAAGTACCCAATTTAGAGGGATTTCAGGATTAACGAGATAAGTCTGTGCAACACGCGTGTAACCTGCCAAGAAAGGGTGCCTCAGTGCCTCACGAAAGACTTAAATGGGAAAATGGTCCCTAGTTGGTGTTAGACAAGTGAAGAAAACTCCATCCAACCACACGCGAACCCAAGACCAATGTTCAATGGTTTTTGCCACTGGTGGATAGCGAGGATTGTTTCTTTGTATACGCCAACGAACGTGACATTTGGGTGATGCCTCACGGGAAGATTTTCTATGGGAAACTGGAGTCTATTTAGGTGCTGAAGAAAACCGGGAAAATTCCACGTGGCCAGCCTGTGGCGAGCCACGACCAACTGGTTTGTGTGTTTGCGCCTCCACTACCAATTCTTACTAGTTTTATTCACTCGGCACCACTAGTGGGCAGCATGGAACACGAACAGAATTTGAAAGTAACCAAGAATGAATAATTAAGATAATTAAATTTTGATTTCTCAATGATCCAATAAAATTATGAACTTACATTGTGGTGAAAACCAAAAAAGCTTCGTTTCTGTGGGTGGACCCTGTATCCCCAGTTCGGTGGATTTATCAGATCCGCATTCTGAATAAGCGGCATGAGAGGGATGTATGACAATTTATTAGGTTCTATCCCAGCCTCTAACAATAAAACACTGTGATTCGGATCCTCCGACAGCCTACTAGCCACCACCGATCCGGCAGATCCGCTTCCAACTAAAAAAAATAAAGAACAACTCTTGTAGTTAATGCAAAGACCATGAGCATGGTGAAGCAAGAACCATAGAACATCCATAACAGTAGCTAATGAGTTCGAACCTGACCAACTGGATGGCGGAGTTTTTCTTATTTTCTTCACGTGTCTAACACCCTAAATGGGGGTTTCCAGTAGAAAGTCCTCCCATAGAAAGCACATGGGCGATCTGCCAAGGGGGAAGTGAGAAAGGAGGCTGATGGTCGTGTTCAATTGATGGAAATAAGGTAATGCAACACGTGGGTGATCACCCACCTTTGTCGCTCTCCCCCTTGGTAGATCGCCCATGGGAAGACTTTTTACTGGAAATCGAGAAAAAAGTCTGAAGAGAGCTTTGTAGAGTGACTTTGGATGCTTTACGGGTTCTTTGTTGTCTTACTGGGGCATGAGAGAGTTAAAGGGATTAGGTTCCTCTTTTTTTCACCCTTCTAGGCGCTCCTGGCATTCATTATATTATGATTAAAGAGAACAACCACCTCGCAGTAATTGCTCCACACTCTTGGCCTTTCAAAATCAAGAGGAACCCGAATAACCTTTCTGAGGCCTCCAGTATATTAAAACATCGAAATGGTAATAAGAAAACACCTTTATATTTTCTCAAATTAACTTAATAGGATGAATCACTTGTAACAATTGACGTTGAGGCCCCCGTAAATGCGAAATCTCGTCGGTTCCCCTGTAAATAGGCCTCAAATATCTGAAAATACACGGATTTTAAATGTTACCAGACAAGATGACCCACTTTCACTTAAACGGGAAGTTTTCTATCTATTAAACAATGAATACCTGTTCCACCAGGATTTGTCTATCACATCACGCTGTTTGTTAACACAAGACATGAACCTGCAAACAATGGAACATCTAAGTAACACACTACAATTAATATGGGGCCTATGAGAAGTTTTTCGACTCTACTTTCGCACATCCCAGTTTCAGCTGCCCTATGACGATTAAATTAATGCTAATAAGTTAGGAATATCTCCTCTCACGTGAGAAGGCCCCTTCTGACTAGAGCCAACTGGTCCGGGCCTCATATTTACGAAGGTCTTGTGTATTAAAAATGATCTTTATTTCTTCTATCGGAATTTTTAACGCTGCTTTGTTTTTTGAGTCTACTAGGGCCTCGTAAAGGTAAAAGGCCCGGGCCTTAGTGAGACGGACAGAGATC